TAAAAAAATTCCCCCCCCCCCCCCCCCCCCAAAAAAAAAAAAAAAAAAAAAACACTTTTCGCCTCTACTTCTACTGCAACAATTTTCATCAATCCCATTAACTTGTTTTTGTTAAACCTGGTTGAGATGGCAAGACCATTAACTTAATTTACTTCCATCAGGATTCCTGCAATTTCAAAGGCACTGTTTCTTACTATCACTAGTGTTACTTAAAAATATGCACATTAGTGTCTGTGACCCTTTCTTAGGCTTGATTCTTGGCTCTCTTGCATGCAAACATCAATTCCAGTAGTAGTATTAAGAATCATTACCTACCACCTAAAATGCTTGGACTCGGGTACGGGTACATATCAAAGCGTCGGATATTTTATTTTCTAAAATGTGGGATACGGAAACATGGCTGAAAAGAGTCCAAATTTAGGACAAGGGTACGTGGGTACGTTTTTTAAACTTCAATTTTCATTTTTAGATTTTTTTTTTTTATTGTCGTATTTTTTGAATTAAAAATGATTAATTTTATTAAACTAAAATATGTGTGGCGTAAAAATAATTACATTATTAACCCACTCATATCCATTACCCAAACTCCAATTAAATCCATCCATATCCAATATCCATATTATTAACCCAATAAAAATGGCCCAAACTCCAATTAAATCCATCCACATTCATATTGTTAACCCAACCCACCTCCATACTATTAGCCCCAATAAAATGGCCCAACCCCAATTGAACCCAAATCTCTTCTTTCATTCCTATCTCTCCGTCTTCCACTCTTCCTTCTTCTCCTTCACAATTTTAGGATTCCAACGGAAGACAGCCAGCAAATTTATTTTGGACCAAGGATCGTCGGCGCTAACCTGCTATTTCTTTACACACATCTTCCATCTCCGGCCAATAAGGTAAATCTTCAATTTTTCTTAAGATTTCTTGTGAGTTCGATTGAAATTGGAAGAATCGGACCCGTATTCCGTACCGGTACCCGTGTCGTGTCGACAGGGGTACTTTGGCCGGAATGAAGAGTCCGAGCATCACAGCCTACCCCACTACCAAAAATAATATTTATTAACAATGGTTTCAACTCAAAAAAGTTCTATTCTTCGCAGCAATCCATGTTCCAAGTCTTGATAGAAGCTCGGTATATAACCCCGACGGCACCATGGGGGCATTGCCATATTCACACAAACTATTTCCTGCTAAACAATTGAACCCACTGTAGACCATACTAATAGCATTAACTTAGACACCAGTTTTAGGACCAAGAACATGCCGTTGTCCCAAATTCTATAGTCATTAACAATAATGTTACTGGAGTCTTTTAGTAATTTGTAAAGCTTAACAGCAGATAAAACGCCATATTGAAATTGTCACAAGCCCATACCTGGGCCTCGGCAATAAGGGAAATTGTTTCCATAAGCCAGCCATCAACTACTAAAGGTTACTACTTACATATCAAGCAATCACTGAATGGCTTCAGAATTGAACTGTTAGATACTTTAATGAGATAAGGCTTAATTATCATGTCAATGAGATTAAATAAGATTACAAAGATCGTCGAAGATTACGACTTTGCATCTATTTTATCATTATACTCGTATTTTATATAGATAGATTGTTTTTATCATATTTAAATTATAAGTTACCATTAGTTAATATTGTAATTGATTGCTACCATATTTAGTGGTGATTTTAGTTCTATATAATGAGATAACCTCTCACATCGAGGGGAATCAAGTCTTATTGAGTATATTTGACATGGTATCAGAGCTAGATCCATAGAATTTTCTCTCATTTTCTTAGCTATATTTTTCTCACGGTGGAAGGAACAAAAGCTCCTTTTTTGCTCCTCCCGTCCAGTCTTCTGGGTATTTGGATAGTTTTCTTAGTTGCTTCATTAGCACCCTTTTTGCATTGTTTCTAGTTGGTAGCCTGTTGAACCAAATCCATGATAGTGATTGTTAAGGCAACATTAAAAAGATAATTAGGTTATTTGGGATTGAACAATATCTCAAGCAAAATCAATCTACAAGTATCAATTATACCTCAAATCCCAACACGACACTGCTTTGGCCCACTGGTTAATGATCTTGATCTTCCATTACAAGGAAATCCAACAGCCGAATCCCTGCAAAACACTTCAGCAATCTGTTTCTCGTCGTCCATCCCTTTCCCTCGAGCCTAACCCCTAAAAGCATCTTCAAGTTGAACACCACATTCCCATTCTCGTCCCTCTCATTATTTATCCTTCAGAAATTGGCCTTCAATGACGTCTCATTTTCAACTTGAGTGCATCTTCTTCAGAAATTATAGCTAGCTCCACCACGATGTGGCGACTTTGTTGGCAGAAAATAAATTAAAGGGAACAAGTCGGCGGGTTGACTGTTTGTGGGCTATGTATGGGTTTTGGGCTTTGTAGGTAAAGTTATTTGGGCCATTTTGTTTGTGGGCTTGGCGTTGGGTATGAATATTGGGCCAGAGTATTTGGTTTTGCTGGGCTGTTTTCTTAGTATGTTGGTCTTATTATTGAGCTAAAGTATTAAGACAAATTATTGGCTTACAGTAAGTATATCAAGGATTGACATTTGGGTTGGATTGTGGCTTGGCTGCCCCTTACAGTTGGACCTTTGAGGTTTTTTTTCCCCAGATAATTGCTGTGGATTGTTGGGTTTTATTTAATATTCTTGGCCAGCGATATATTGCTCAATTTTTGTTTGGTGCATTGGCTGTTAGAGCTTTTGTTGAAACACTAATTATGTGTTCGACAAAGTTCTCCCGACAAGAGCTCACTGTGTGCGTCAGCACACTTCGTAAATTTCTTTTGGAAATTCTTCTTAGGGTGTGAGCTCTCTGGATGTCCTTGGGGTTGCTTTAGAGTAGTTCTTGGTTGTTTCTACACTATTTGTTGTTCTTGGTATCTCACTGTCATTAATTTTCGTAGATGGTTGCTTCGATTTGAATTTCTTCTTCATGGGCACAAATATTGTCACCATTGCAGTTCTTGATTGCAAATTGATGTTTTTAACAACATTAATTTGAGGGGATGTCAATTAGATTGAACAAGATTATGGAGATCGTCGAAGATTATAGCTTTACATCTATTTTATAATTATAATTGTATAATATATAGATGGATTATTTTTACCATATTTAAATTATAGGTGACCATTAGTTAATATTGTAATTGATTGCTACCATATTTAGTGGTAATTTTAGTTCTATGTAATGAAAGAACCTCTCACGTTAAGAGGCATTGAGTCTTATTGAATATATTTGCTGACATCTCATAAACCACAAGTTTAGACGATATTTTAATCTCAACAACTTTTAGCAGAATATGATGAGGATAAGAAAGAATTTTAGAATAACTTTAAACCATGCTTTCGAAGTGAATAGCATTAAAAAGAGAAAAAAATGTAGTCTTAGTTCAGTACCTCATGTTTGTAAGCCTCAATAAAAATCAAGACAGGATTCATCACAGTGAAACCCATTTCATAAATTGCCTTTTGTGTTCGAGGTTCTGAGGCACTTGCAACCCCACGAAGCCGCTCCAACAAGCAACTAACCTATGGCATGTCATGATATGATATTAACCATATTGTTTTAGAGTATCTGCAAATTGAATGGATAATATTTAAATTGTCCTTACCAACAAAAGAACATCTGGCTGTTGAGCAATATGTTTGAGATCATTCTTGCATGACAACTCCACCAAATTAGCTGTCATATGGTTCGTCAAACTTTTTATATACCTATAAATAATTGTAAATCGTGATCAGGTAGTATTGCAATAAAAATATCTGCAACTGAAAAGAATGAGATACAAGTGGAGAAGAAACCCAAATATATACTAACTGATTTGATGCCTCGGACGTTTTCATGCCAGAAGCTGCAAGAGCAAGTGTCTCAGCCAGTGAACGCTGAAACGGATGAAAGACAAAGTTACACTTTTCAATGAGAACATTAAAAGGCATCTGTATTGTTATGTTAAACCACCTAATCTAAAAGCTCAAGCATTTAGAAGGAAGAGGAATTTATTTATTATAATTTTGTAATTGTTCCCTCACATACTCATTTTTCATCAAAAGTGGCCTTACACATGAACAATTTTTGTAAATGGGTGAAAGCGAGACTTGATTTTATTATGTTTGCTTGCTTAATACTATGTTAAACCACGTTATCTAAAAGCTCAAATTATTGGAGAGGAGATGATTTATTCATTTATATTTGGAAGAAGAGTTTGATCAGGCGAGTGACTATGGGGTTCCCCCGGTTTCAAAGGCTAAAAGCAACTGTAGTTGAACCAATAGTACTAGGAATAGATAGAAGAATCCCAAATGCTTATATTCCAAATGTCAATTCATTTATATCTCCAACATTCCCCTCACGTGTAGACCATAATCATTTCTTATGACCTAACATGTTGAATTTTCAAGATTAGGTGGTGATAAGACGTAAAACTGGGTCCTCACCTCTCCATGCTCTGCTACCAGTTAAACCACATCTTCATAAAGCTTAAATTGTTAGAGATAAGAATTTATATGTTTATACTCTATCTTCAACTCATTGTTTAGCGAAATGAAAAAAGGATCAAGTCAAGGAAGAAGAGCAAAAACAGAGAAAGATGCATACTTTGCTGCTACCTGAACACATGCAAATGTGCCAAATGTATAATGGAAAATACCTACTATAATTAATGGGTCTCTCAGTTTCCTCCATTTACAAGTCAAATATGGGGATACGATACATAAGTTAAGATGCACCCATTTTCTTCTTCTAACTTCAATGCCTTGTATGTAACTACACTATTACCGGTTTTAATGGAAGGAAAGAGTAACATTATTTTAATGGAATGAAAAAATGGGTGCAAGTCAAGGAAGAAACACGAAAACATAGAGAAAGTGTGCATGGTTTGCTTCTAATAAAACCCTCATGCAAATGGAAAATAGCTCCTGTAACCTTTGGATGCTGTCGCTTGGCTTTATTCTATGCATGAATCAGATATAGGAACACATAAACTAGAGCACCTATTTTCTTCCTCCAATAGATATTCTTTATATATACAGTCACCATAAGAACACAATAAAATTAGAATAAATTACCTGGTGAGAAGCGTTTAATGAGAACAAACCCCTTTCATTAGCAAAAACATTTGCTAAGTCACGCCATGACTCCTGCAAAATAAGTTACCAGAGGTTAAACAAAAATTTCTAATAGAGGTCTGAAATGAGTATTAAAATAAAAATACAGGAATTTCGTGATATGCTCAATGTAACAACGTTCACTCAGTCAAAATTGCAGTATTACTTTTTTCATATCAAGAAGCACAAAAGCCTGTTGCCAATCATTAACTAACGATGTTTTCTGAAGTACATAATGGACACAAAAGCTGAAAGTATTGCAGGATTGAAGTGTGTAGAAATCATGGTTAAGTATGGTCTTCCACACAGGGTGAGTTAAGAAAATAAAGGGCGAGAGAAAATCTGAATTTTGAAAATTAGCAAGTCGAATGAAGGGAGTATAAAGAACCAGAAGTGGAGGTAGGCAAAGTACTGGACCAACTGGTCTGGTTCTGCTTCGATTTTAATATATATAGCTGAAAACATGGTCTACCCGAACATATTTTTTTTATATATAGTGACTGGTGCCGATCTCATAGAATAACACCCAGCATAGACTAGGCAGAAGAAAGTGAACATGGCGAAAGAAAATGAATGGTTCAAAATCTTCCTCCTCCAGTTGTTCTCAGGGGGAAAAACCCTAATTTTCTTATGCCACAGTCCATTGCTGCCCCGGACACCGTCTGACGAGCAAGAAATCTCCATGACACAGTTCCTCTTTGAATATTGCTAAGCTAATTAATTCTCTATTTGTTTTATGTTCCTTTAATACAATCTGCACAAAAACCTTTTACCATTTTACGGTTTGAGTATTGGGTTTTGATAAGGACTGACCTACCATTAAGAAGATTTAAGCATTTGAAAATCTGCCTCTCTTCATCTGGAATGTGGAGGATGAGATCAAAAATGTCATATCTTTTATAATTCTATAAGGTATCTATCTAGTGAATTACAATGTTCTATTTTTTCCCTTATAAGCCCCAAGATTTAATTAAATAGTTGGTGCTGAAGCAGAACTGAAATTCTTGAAATGAGAATCAATTTAAAGAACTTTAAGTTTAAAAATATTTGAATTGTATTGAAAGTGATTATTGAGAAGTGTGCAAGCCTATGTCTATCTATATAGGCAATTTAATTCTCGAATCCTAACGACCAAAGTAATTAAAATTCTGGGGGTGAACCTAATCCAACAAGAGGAAGAAATCGTATTCTATTCAAGAAAGAAGATAAAATACTATCACAACAATGAATCATACTTGGAATAAATCCATATCCTATTTATTATGAGATTGTCCAGAAAACTTGACCTCAAGTGATAAATAGTATCCAAAGATATATGCAACAATGAATGTAGATGAAATAGTCATATACACAGGAAGATCAATCTTGTAGGCATTATATCCAATACTCTTCCATACACAAAAGGACCAATCTTCTCATCTTTCTGTTTACTATTGCAATAGGATTTTTGTTCAAAATCAAAAAGAGGAGATAAAGTGGGAAACATACGAAAATCATTAGCTTGACTGGGGATAGAGCATAAGGGTACCATATCTATTGATAAAATAAACACAAATGATATTGCATTCATTTGTTAAAAACAATTTGAAGAATTTGAAATGTGATGTTATAGTTTTAAATGGCTCTTATTTGCATGTACGATGTTCTGCACATAGTCAATTTGATCGTTGTAAAATATTGAATGCAAAAGACTTCCCCTACAAAATTCAAATTCTTAACGTTAGATAGTGTATTGAATTCAAAAAAGCATTTAAAGGAATGGAGGAAGAGGATGAATTCCATTGTAAAAATTTTTATGAGTGTGAGGGTTGAAAAAAAAGAGAAGCCACCACTAAGTGATGGTTGGAAGAAAGCCAGAAATCCAACATTTTAAGAACCTTTTATGAACTCACTTTGCAATTTAATGCTTCTACACGTGTTACCTCCAATCTTTACTTCAAAGAAGTTCATAAAATTGAGCAATTTTTGAAGATAAGGACTGACAAGCAAGATCCTTCTCTAAGTAGTATGGCAAGAAACATTTAGACTAAATTTGACAAATATTACGTTAATGTAGATAAAAATAAATAATATTTTGATAGTTGCAGTCACGCTTGATCCTAGATATAAACTAAAATTTGTTGTATATGCAGTCTAAGCCAAAAAAAAAATGAAGTCATGGAATTATTGTTTTCTTTATATACCCAGTAGAAGGGATTGGATTGCACAAATGATGGAGCTAGTGGAAGTAGTGATTTCAACAACAAAGTCACTTAGATAGAGAGTTCTAATGATGATAATGGAATGGCTTTAATAATTTTGATTTTGGTACGAGATGTTGAAAACTAGCCTAATCGAATTGTCCAGAAAAGACAAGATATAGATATATAGAATGGAATTCCCCGACGATTATGCTAATGCAAAATTCGATATTTTGAATCAGTGGAAGATCAATAGATAAAGAACTAAAACTTTGTTTGACGTTGAAATAGATGTGCCTTCTATTCATGTATCTGTAGTTGCTTCCGAGAAAAATGGAGGGCGCTTTAATTTTATACGCAAAATTGGTTATTGGGAGCATCTAAACTTTTTAGAGTACCCCCAAATAGAGTTTGCATTGAAGAAACGAGTTCTATGAGAAATGGATGGAACGTAAATTCATAAATGTTATATTGTTACTATTTATTTGGTTATTCATGTAAGCTTGTGAATGAATTTTATTAGACAATATTTTGAAACAAGCTGGGACTTGTTCGTGCTTATAAATTTGAAATATGTTGGTTTGTTAATTTGGTTAATGTTCAGTGATTTTGGCATCTTGTGGTTAAGCGTGGTGTTTGTTAATATTACATTTTAATCTTGCAATTAGTTTGAGATGTTTGGTTCATTTTTAATGCTTTGATGCTTATTTTGGTTTTAAAAAATTGTTTTGTTGCATTGGAGATGTTTAATTAATTTATATTGATTGCATTGGAGGTATTTATAGTTCAATTGCATTGGAGATATCTGCATGAGTTAGACATTGGTTCCATCTCTATTATGGAACCGAACCGACCAAACTGGAACCAATAGTTCTGTTGCAGTTCAGTTCCATAATTTAGTTCTGTTGCAGTTCAGTTCCATAATTAAATTATGGAACCAAAGGTTTCATTCTAAGATACCTATTGGGACTCAATTAGGTTCAGATCTCTTTGAAAGTGGAGCGAACCCAACCGTGGCCACCCTTAACCAGCAACTACAAACTCCTAATCAGGTAAACATCCTCAAAACAACAAATCCTGCTTCCATCCTCCAAATTGCCCCACCCCTGCAGGGTGACCAATCCCGAAGAAAAATATGTCTAACGGACTGTTAAGGCTTCTCTTCCAGGCGAAACTACCATCTTCCGGCCAAAAGTTCTTCTAAACCCAACCCAACCCAAACCAAATTATAGTGGAAAAATGGAACCACCCAGTATGCGAAAGAATTCATGAAATTTTTTGCATGAAGTGAAATGCAACTGACCAAAGAAACAAGATGTGAAATAACATTTTTTCGTCGAACTAGTCCATGAAGTAACTGGTAACATGTAAGTCCCTGTCATGACAAACAGAAGCTGACATTAACCGGTGCGTGTCTTTCACCTTCTTTACAGGTGCAAACCATCAATAAATAACTATAGATTACATACCTGCAGGTCCTTCTCCCCAGGGTATGAAACAAGTGTAGTCAAGGAGATTCGAATAATAATATCAAGCACAAGTTTTCCCTGGTTATACTCGCCAAAAAACCTAAGCAGTGCATTTTTGGAGTGTTCTAAACGAACTTGGGCATCATTATTATTTTCACCACTTTTATTTCCTTTATATTCTTCAGGTGGCATCAGGTATGTTGAAGACCATCTTGCAAGGAACCATATAACTGCCTGCAGATTATCAGGTCATATACGTTAAATATGAAAGCAACCATGATAAAATCTCTTTTGTCAAAGCATAAGAATAAACATAATAAATATATACAATTTGAATTCCCAAGTTCAGAACATGTAAGGCCATAACTATCTAGTTTCTCTCTCTTAATGCATCAAGTACCAATGTGGGGCATTTGACATTCAGAGAAGAGTATGCAAACATGCCTGATATATTGTCCTCATTACAAACATAGGCATTTTTTTGCCACAAAAAGATGAGAACCAAAAATATTACTTGATCTTACCCATAGACACACCCCATAGTTGAAGGTTAAAAATATTACAATTCGATTTTGGACATGTGCCCATATCCAATGCTAATATACGAGATTGAAAAATGCAGCCAAGAGAAATATATTGATGAAAAGAAAATCCACCATTTCAGGTTAGTTTCCAATTGTTACTGCAATTGGTATTTGTTTATATGTTTTCTGGTTGATGTATGGTAGCTTTTCTTGGCTTGATTATTGGTTTGTTCTTTTTCAGGTTGATGTGTGTTTTCTCAATGATAGATTTTTTACATCAAATTATAGTGGCTTCCCGTGGAGAATGTGGAACCACAGATTCTTCACTGAGATGGCCGGTATACCTGAAGATATAAAATAGAAGTACATTGTCTAATTACAGTTAAAAAATGAAGTAAGATCATTAAACTAATGTTTTCAAACAATATTTTTTTATCAGATTAAAAAAAAAAATTGTGCCACGTCATATTATGCTTATGGGATATCTTCAATTGAAACTAGCAAGAAAAACAAAACCTTAAAGTATTGTGTTAAAAAGGATGAATAATTTCCTAACAAAATTAAATCTATACTATTTCAAGTTCTGGAAACTTTCAACATTCCAAAACAAATAACTTCTCTCCAGACTAAACAATCTGAAGAGGCATACTCCTATTAAACCATGTTCCACGAGCTAAGTGGCACAACACACTCATTCAATGATCCTGAACGATCTGCATTCCAGGGACTTTCAATGCAATTGCATAGGAAAAGTGGAGATAACTAAAACAGACAAAAAAGAGAAAGGGAGAAAATATATGTACCTCCATAAGTCTAGGACTGAAAAATGATGTTCTCATGTCTGGATCCAAACTTTGCTCAGCGAACCTAATGATTGAACTACAATTTTGGCAAAGTAAAATAAGCTTATCAAATGGAGAGAGAAATTTGAAAATCACAATTAAGGAAGGAAAAAAATGATTCGAACAGTGCCTTAAATTCTTCATCTTTAAGCACTTCTCTTGAAATTAAAATGACGTTGTTCATCATCCAAGATCAAGTTCAAGAAGCATTTTGATCCCACCATTTATTGTTCTTCAAGAAACAATGCTTATATACCAAAGCTGAGCATTTAGCAGAAGCAAATATGAGGAAACCCATTTGATTCAGTACTGTGAAACCCAACTCGAAGATTATTTTTCAACGCTTGAAGGGGATGATTCTTATAGCTGAGGGCCTATTTGAACTCAAAGAACTTTAAAAAAGGCCCCAAAGGAGGAAATAGCGAGAATGATTATTGAATGTTAAATCTCTTGTTGGATATTTGCACAGAATTGCAACAATCACAAAGCGAAGAAGGCATGCAAGGGATCAATGAAGCATGCTTATGCAAAGATAAAAGGGCCAGTGCCTTGTCCGATCCCAGACTAGTTGCTCAAGATGTACGATGAACTCGAGGAAGAGGAGAAAGCTGGAATGCAAGATTTAACCTTGACAAGATAAGTTAGAGCCAGAGGATGATCCCTAACTTGGTCTTCCAACACCTGATCATGAGACAGGCAGGTGTTTATTGTGCTGGTTAGTAGTCCGATGTGACGTACCTAGTAGAAGATTATGGAAAATGTATTATGTGGTTCCGGATTGCTGGTTGGTGGGAAGGTGTCGAAGAATTTCTGATGTCAACAGAAAGACATCTGGACTGTAAAGAGAGTGTCACTGATTGTATGATACAAGAGGTGCAATAGATGTCATGAATAGAGTTTGTTTTGGTTATTAGTCCTATGTGGAATGAAACTAGTAGAAGGTTATGGGAATGAATAGATTGAGTAGTTGTGGATTCATGGTTAGTGGGAAGTTGTCGAACAGTATCTTATGTCAAAATCTCTGTTGAACTTTGCAGTGTATGATTGTATGATAAGGGAAATCAGATTCAGCCTTACGATGAAAACTAATTTAGAATCAATGGTTTCAAAACTTTCACACTGTAGTATTTGTATAACATTTATGTTCACAGTAAACATAAAGAATGTACGGATGTAAAGATTTTGCTTCCACTTCCACACATCCTCTACATGGCTAACATCTTTAGCATCTAAGAGAGAAGTACCATGTATGATAATTTCCAACTAAACAGCTGACAATTATTCAGCACATACTGTAAGGCTTTATTATAAGTGATACCAATACTAAACCTTTACTCAAATAGAGAGAACAACACGGCATTATGGCCATTTCTCAAGTCGCTTCATAGCATATGTAGACTTTGATTTCAACATACAAGACCATAAAATAGAACATGACTCGTGTCTTAATAATTGATTTGGTCCTCGAGTGAGTTAGAAGTAGTTGATCGCATATTAAAAAAACTTTTACAAAGTCTAAAAAAGGCAGTTAAAACAAAGCTAATAATAATTTCACCATCATTATGGAATTTCGGGCAAGCATCACCACTCTTAAATCGGCCATAACTCAATCAACCTTTAAGCATTGTGACTCAAGTTCCTAAATGCTCAATGGACAAAGGCCCAACAGCGAGGCAGTCCAAATTCACCACAAAGTAACAAACTGGTTTAAAAATAAATGTAACACCAGAATTATTCGATCCAAGAAAAATGGAAACTCCAACATAAATTAAGCCCCCCCACAGTTTTTAACCCAAATTAAGCTTCATCTATACAAGACACATGATCAAGTCAAAGTAGGGAAGATTTCACACATTCATTCAGATTCAGACAAACTACAAACTACAAACTACCTCCACTCAGTTTAGCTGCAGTCCAAAAAAAAAAAAGTTTCGGAAATACTTTGAAAATTGATTTCTTGTCACATTGACAGCCACGTTTATAAAATTAGCAGATTAAATTTTGTCATTCATCATATAAAGCAATAAGTTTTTCTTATTCAAAAAGAGAAAACTCCTAAGGAAGATATGAAAATAACAGATTACAGAAACTAGCATGATTAACTAGCTTAATCAAGAGCATAACTAAGCCAGCAGAAACTCCTTTCCATCCTGTTGGAAATAACAGTTGGCAATTACTCTTTGAAATATGAATCAATATTGACACATCAGGGATGTCAGTTCAGGCTTTTCAAGTATTGGACCAAGTCAGAATAAATATATGGCCTTCCAAATGGTTCGAAATTAGAAGAATGAAGCCAGTTTGACATAATCCATTTAAATGGAATCACCCTCTTTCAGAGGTAATAAAGAAGCACAAGCAGACAACTTACCCAGAGAGAATAACAACTGGATGTTTGTCTGCATCCACATCCGTAAATTGAGCTTGTATCTCCTTCGGCACCTAAACATTTCATTTAATAATGATTAAAATAATATACCTAAAACCAGTCCTTCGCACTACAAAGTCAGAACAGTGAAACAGAAACCAGATATAGCTAAAGAACATCTTTCTATGGCCTGATATAACTTGAAGATAAGGAAAATCTCCAGAGAGGGGGAGAGGAAGGGACTGACTCAGCTTTCTCGACCAAGGAAACAAGAATGATTAATCTATTCCAGAACAGATAGAGCACATGTAGATTACATTAAATAAAAAATCCAGAATATTTAAAGAATCGAAAGCTGAAAATCTCTTCTTCACAAGTTATAAACTGCAAGTTGGCTTTCACTACTGGATCAATTGTTAACACTGAACTAGCACTGTTTGATAAATAGTTCATAAAATAAAGGGTAAAGTTTATAGAAAGCCATAAACTATATACATATAGCAGAATGTCTGATGCAGAGAACAATACATATGTAAACGAAAAATACATTAGCAGAGGCACACAGAGAAGTCAAATTTGATTGAAGCATCTACTAAGACTGACTCAAGTACCCTCCAGGAAGAAAAACCATCATAAGAACTGTAGAACGTGGTAGCAAGCAATAAAAAATACAGTGAAAAATGAAACCATATTACCAAGGGTGTTTCACCCTGTCCTTCATCTGCCAAAACGTGCCCAGTTATCAGTAACAGTGAGTAAAGTTCTTCCAAAGTTTCCGTTGGATCGGTTGTGCCTCTGCCCTACATTTGATATGAAATTACAAGAGAAGCAAGTGCAATAGAAAGCTGTTATTTGTGCATCTATTATCACTGCAATACTAGCGTATATACAAGAATAAGATAAAATGTTGTGCATTTATTATAACCATGTTAAGGAGATAAAATGTAGAAGAAGGAAAAATGTCCATAAGAGGAGTGTCGCCAAGATGAGGATGTTAGATGGATGTTTACGCATTACATGGACAAACTAAGAAACAGGGATATAACAAGTGGAGGAGCTACCAAATGAGGATAGATTAAGATTATGACAACCTAGACAGCTTGAGCATGTCTTCTCTTATTCATAGAAGCAATGGAATAGAACATGTTAGAAATGTAGGGGTAGAACAAGATCAACATTGATTGATGTGGTAGCAAAAGACTTGAATTCATTGAACATTTCAAATGAGGTAAATATGGATAGAACGCAATAGTGAATAGCACTTGTGTAGCCAATCCAGTAATAAGATCAGATTATTGTTGTACCTAAGAGCACATTTTCTATCTATGAGAAGAAGTGAACATTTATGACTTACAATTACATTTTTCTTTGACATCAAGTTTCCAGAATTTTGTAGTAGTTTAGGAGTTTTAAATGTGTAATCTTTACCTACACGAGTGTTCAGATAGAGAGGAATGCGCATATTTCAAGTACCAATGTCCCTTATGGTCATGTTCATGTTGAAATCAAAGATGGTATGGGTAAGAAAATTTCATCCATGCCATTGTATTGGAAGTTAGGACTCATCTATATTATGCACTTTAATATGAGGCAATTTTACTGGCATCTTTGTGAACCAAAAAAAATAATAATAATAATTAAAATTAAAAATAAAAAAAAAATTAAAGATTACCATGCAGGAAAGTCCCATGAAATTTTGAAAGAATAATATAACCAGAAACAAAGTGGTAGCAAATGGCTGTATGAGAAGCTATCACTTTGACTACTACAGAGCTACCTTATGATTCAGTGGTAATATACCTGATGAAGCCTTGTAATACGCTCTGAGAAAAGTGTGGTGAGTAAAGGGATTGTGGCGCCACTAGCTGCTCGAGCAATAAGAGCATAGGAGCTCAATCGTTCATCCATAGCTATATAAAGAACAGAAATGAAGCATGATCAGAGATGCAATAGTAATGTTAAAGATGATGAAAACACTACTAACAGCAATTGCAATCATAATTAAAAATTTTAATTAATTAGCTTAGCATGTACCAGAAATAGAAGCATGGAGGTAATCATATTCATTATCGTCGCTGAAGGCTGATGCAGAAGCAGCTATAACAAAATAATGTGTAAGAACAATATAATCCAAAAATTATTATAAAACAATTATGGCCCCCATTTGGTTGGGATTAAAATCAGATTTTTGTAGATTTTGATAAAAACTGATGAGATGTATGGTTGAAAAGTTGTGAGTCTCCTAAAATGTGCGGTTAAAATTAATAGTTAACTTTGAGTTGATTTCAATCCCTACCAAACAGGAGCATGGTATTGAGCACATAAGTTACCCTTTAACTCAGACTCTACTATAATTGCAAAGAGATTTGCTGCAGCACTAATTCCTTCTGGTGGAAGCAAATCATTATGTCCACTACTATCCAACCGCTGCAATACCAATAAAATAAATTTATGCGGATAGCTACAATAGCATGATTTCTCATTGAAGACAACAAGCTACATATACAGCTAAAAACTCCCAGGGATTATATAAAAAATTAAACACATACAATTAACACCAACAAAATAAAAGGAAAAGATAAAAAAAAATAAATAAATAAATATGGTGAACCTATATTTTTCAGAATGATTTGATAACATCAACCTGTTTTATGGGAAAATAAAACTTCACATTCATAATACCTAAGGAATAAAGGTAATAGTAAAAAACATCTTTTACCATGAACACCAATTTATTGGTACCCGTTAAGTTGCCACCATGAGAGAACAGCCAACACTGATATTAATTAAAAGCTGACACCACCTACCAACCTCTACTCCTCAAAACCAATAGAAAATGTCGATGACTTTCTCTCCAGAACAAAAAATGGCAGAACCACCACTACCAGCGCCACTAAACTAGATAAAGGTAAACATAGCTACTCACACTGCCATAAAAATCTGACACTAGCATACCATGTTCATACTTCAACAAGACCATAAAAGCTCATCAAAGGCTTCCCAGATCCAGATACAAATTAGAAACAAGAAATTGGTTCCAAATCCTGTCGTAAGATTATAGGAACTTTGAGAGAATCTACTTCGGATTTCCTCCATTCTTCGCCTTATAAATGGTGGAATCTAGTCCCTTTCTGGTTACTAAAAATTATAAACCAGTTATGAGAAGTTTCATGGACTTCCATACATTCCTTCAAAAATCCCATGAGAAAGCATTCCAACCTTCGATATACAATATTCAACCAACACCCATTTTTCTTAAAAATTCTGTCTAAAGACTCTAAACTAAGTCTTGTACACAAAAATCAAGGGCCCATTTGGTTTGCTTTCAATTTTGAGTTCATTTTCAGTTTTTTTATTTTGAGGGTCTATTTTGAAATTACTAAAAATATATTTGGTTTGTAATTCTTCAAAACTTTTTCTCAAAACAGAAAAGTACAAAACATGTTTGGTTTGAAATTTTGAGATATTGTTTACTTATATTTTATTTCATGAAATTTGATTATTTAGTAAATAGAACAATTTTATGTTCATATATTATCAAATATTATATATAAATATTTCAAAGTTGGTGAATCTTAAATTTTTATTTTTTTTCACTACAAAATAAAATAAATAATAATTAATAAGTTAAGTTGACAAGATACAAATAAAAATTAATGATGCAGACTCAGAATTTTTGTGTTCTATATATATATATATATATATATATATATATATATATAGAGAGAGAGAGAGAGAGAGAGAGAGAGAGAGAGAGAGAGAGTTTTTATTTTAAATAACCAATAAGAGATTGAACTTCCCTTTTTTTTTGAATTGTTATTTTTCTAGAATTTTTTAGAATTTAATTTTTCCAGAATTATTATTTTTTTTAGAACTTTAGATTTTTATTTTTTACAATTTCAAAATTTATATTTTTCAATTTTTTTAATTTTAATTTTAATTTTTTGAAATTTATAGTTTTTTTTAAGAATTTTTATTTTTATTTTTATTTTTTTTAAATCATTTAAATGTTTATTTTCCATATTTTGAGTGTTTTTAGCATTTTCACTAAAAACACTCAAAACATCACAAATACGTTTTAAATGTTATAAGTTTAAATTACTTTCGAAAATGCATTTTCAAAAATACGATTAAAAAAGCTTTAAGTATTTTACAAAATTGAAAACTGAAAACAACTTAAAACTAACAAATCGAATGCACCCTAAAACACTGAGCAGCTAACAATCCAAAAGACACGGACAAAGACACGAATGGCATACCAACAAGGTTTAAAGCATGCTGTAGTATATACCGTAAGAAGTGCAGTCCAAGTGTCCAGTAAAATATCGCGTGCTACCCAGCTCCACGTCTCTTCTTCTGAGAGGTTTTCCAAAAGGCATTTGATGACTTCAGACATCAGCACAGATAACAGTGTAAGAGTGCCGTAAGGCCTGAGTGTCAAGTCAAAAGTACGACTTCAGTACAAGCCACAAATATGACATAATAACTTTCAGATGGAAATTGAGAAATTACTGATAAATCCAGAAATGATAAGACTGACCTCAAAGATTTCAAGAGTTGATCAAACACAAGTGGTGTACTCACAGCTGCCATAGACATCAGTGCTCGGCAACCATCAAGGAGTTCACTGAAGAAATAACAAATAATAAATCAATATAATGAAGATCTCTAAAAGGCTCCCATCCACCTCACTCATTCTTCTAGAAGGAACAGGAAGGATTGAGAAGCAACTAGAAGAAGGGGGGAATAACAGCATTCTGTTACATAGCAAATGGGGGGGAAAAGTAGTTAGGCAGCAGTTATAAATAAGAGGGGAGAAAGGCTTAGTAGGGGAAGCAAATGTTGAGTGAAAGGAGTCCTATAGTCATTTTAATATCTATAATTTTCTGCATTTCGCTTCAAAGATCTAATACAAGTTCCGTTTTTCCTCTTCTCCAATTGGAGTCCTAACAAATGGTATCAGACAACATCGATCTGCTGGCCCAGATGAAGATAGAAAGTAGAGTGGAAATCATGGAAAAGGAGATGAAGAAATTGAAAGTGGAGATGCAACGCCTTCCCAAATTGGTAATATCTGTAGAACACCTTAAACAGAATATGGCCAAGATGATGCAGACAGTGGAGACAACACCCTTAGGCAGCCTTCATCCATCCAAAAGCAGAGTCGAGTAGAAAAGTTAAGAGAGAGGAATCCGGATCCCTTACAGAAGGACGGATTCCAAAGAATCCACTCTGGACTGATCACCGATCACAAGATAGAGGAAAAGCACCGGAAGGATCAGGTGAAGCTACTTATGGCAGAGTCACGATGGCGATGGGTCAGAGCATACGGGGGAGATCAGTAGCAGGGTTCCAAAGCTCGTTGGAAGCTTTGGTTGCACTTGTGCCCGGTATCACCAAGGGAGCGTTGGAGGGAACATTTATAAATAGTTTGAAACAAGACATAAGGGCTAAAGTCCAATGGTTATGTCCACAAGGATTGGGCCAAATCATGGCAAATAATTGAAGATCGCAACAGCATAAAAGCTAGAAGGGAGAATACGGCCCAAAAGGCCATCAAATTATTTCCAGCCCCAAATCAATGGGAAGGAAAGAAAGTGGAACCCTTCCCTACGAGATCCGTGACGGTGGGGGAGAAACACAGTCGGGCACCAAGGCAAAATCTACTGGAACCAATCAATTGGTATATTTAGGGAAAGCTGAAATTGATGGCGTTAGGAAGGGACAACCCTTTAAGCTTTTTTCCGGGGCAATGATGCCATGGCTACAAGGAAAATGCTTGTACCACAAGTGGCGGGAGAAGAATCCAATTGAGCACCACAATAAATATAAGGGGCTGATATTGAGGCTTGAGAGATCAGGGGAACAATTAAGCCAGAAGATGGCCAGAATATCCCAAAAAATAGGAGCAATTCAGAAGGCTGTAGCATCAATAACCCTCCCTCAATCAGTCACGAACAAAATGGTGGACGGAGGGAACAGAAGTTTCTATGAAAAGTTCTTTGCTGTTTGCCAGGAAGAGGAGGCAGAATTTCGACGGTCAATTGACGTTTTGGCTATGCCATTGCTGGGAATTTCAGAGGAAGGAATGAAGAGTACACTTGTAAATGGGCTCAACCCAGAAATTTGGGCTGAGGTCCGTTTACTGAGACCAAGTGGGCTGGGGTCTACCATGAAAGCATCCCAGCACGTAGAAGACATAAACATGGTGCTCAAATTGGCTAAGGAGCCCATGGGCTACAAATCACCTATACATACACATGAAATATATATGGACAGAGCAAGAAATCACTGTAAATTTGCGAAAATGGTGAGAGAATTATTTTTTGGAAAAAATGGCCATGTCTGAATCTAGTGACTAACATGAGCCAGGAGGGCATTGACACCTCCTCCATCCTCTCTAAAGTAACCCCTACTGTAGCCAAACTCATCAGCAAACCAGAAGCCTGTGTGATGATAGAGCAGCCTACTGCGTATGGAGAGTTGGTGTCTATTGGAGGACTTAACCCTAATGTCAACAAGAAGCTAAGTGCTGCTATTTGCACTCCAGAAATAAGAAGAGGGATTAAGGCTGAAATACGTTTGTTGCCTCCAAACAGTTCGGGCCGATTAATGAAAGTGGGCCAAAAAAAAGAAAAGTAGAGGAGCGAAATTTAATTACCCAGTCCACTGAGGAATACCTGCCTCAGAAAAGAGTAAAATTGAATTAATCCCCAAATTCAGTGGAAGGCAGAATAGTTGATTCCTTCCCTACTAGATCGGTAGCAGTAGGGGAACAATTGACCATTCCACGCAAGGAATTCACCAGCAAGCGCATGTCAAATGCGGAGAGGGAAAAACTGAAAACTGTGACGTTGGAAGAGCACGCCGCCAACATTCCCTAACCCCCACCTTGAGGACAAGGTGGATTTGGAAACCAGGGATAATGAAAAGGCTCCCATCCACCTCACTCATTCTTCTAGAAGGAACAGGATGGATTGAGAAGCAACTAGAAGAAGGGGGAATAACAGCATTCTGTTACATAGCAAATGGGGGTTGAAGAAGGGGGGATAACAGCATTCTGTTACATGGAAAAGGAGGGGAAGTAGTTAGGCAGCAGCTATAAATAAGAGGGGAGAGAGGCTTAGTAGGGGAAGCAAATGTTGAGTGAAAGGAGTCCTGTGGTCATTTCAATATCTGTAATTTTCTGCATTTCTTTTCAATCAAAAATCTAATACAAGTTCCGTTTTTCCTCTTTTCCAATTGGAGTCCTAACAATCTCATGGCACAAGATGGAGGAAGTGATGGAAATAACTTGACCTTTCACTTCTTCCACATTCTATAGCTTTCAAAACAGCATCAGGAGGTTCTATCCATTGTATGATTCCAGATAACAGTTGTACAAGGTTCTGCCTTTGCATGTACCCGCTGTCTGGATTTCAAAACAATTAGTAGTTAATAAACAGAAATAATTAATAGTCACCGACATACCATAAGGTGAGAGAGGACCAAAAAAAAAAAAAAAAAAAAAAAAAAGCAAAGTTGGAAAGAAGGAAATAATAACATGCTAAAAGGGGTTCAATCAGCACATAAATTTAAAGAACTTTCAAAAGCAGACCTCCTCTCTGGTAATAAGACGTGGTAACAAGAAAGGAAAGGCAGCACGAGCTTAAGTTTGGAGGTACAAGTGACATTCAATCAGAATAAGCAAATAACTGCTAAAGAGTAATTTCTCGGATTTAGTGGTCACAACTGCTTGGTTTTGGGATTGACTTGTGCACAACGAATACAATCAACAATAACTTCAATTTATCTCACAGGTATTAGAAAGGCTTCTAATGGAGGAGTATATAAATTAAAAGTTACTTATTGATCGCCCCTTTAAAAACCTAAGTTATTAAAGAAAATAATTGTACTTGACCAAAACGATATAATTGTCATAAGTAAGGACCTTTTCAAGTTTCCATGTTGTGCACAATATCGATTGTGACTATCTTAAACTTTATCTATTAGAGAAGGGAAGAAACTCTTTACCTATGTCTTCAACAAAAACATATAAATAATGTTTTGAAAAGACATTGGGTTAATGTCCTACAACTTTCTACAATTACATTTGCCAGTGTATGATAGACTAGTATACACTCTTGAAAGCACTCATGATTTTAACTTTTTTATACACTGTAAATTATGGTCATAATTCTAAACTAAATAGATATACAGATGACAAGTTACTAGTCAATGTATAAGTATAGTTCCCATGAATCCATCATAACATATTACCCTTACCAAAAGAGAGAAGTGAATCAAAAGCTTAACTATGTGATAAAAAAAAAAAAAAAAAAAATAATATAATATATAAATATTTTAAAAAAAAAAAAAAAAATATATATATATATATATATATATATATATATATATATTAACCGTTACTAGAAGGTAAGAATTATACCAGAAGGAAATATGGTTCCTGTTATGGAGCAAAATTGGACAATAAGTTTCCGAGAAGAAACTGCAAGAGGGCAGTCTAGCCAGTAGCCTTCACATGAAAACTTCTGTCTCAGTGCACCATACAAGTTCAAAATCCATCCGACCTGACCACTTGAAATCAGCACATCCCACCACGAGGAACCAGGCTATGAGCAGCAGAAAAGTAGAAACAAGTACAATAATCAGTGTTAATGATCAAACAACAGGTTCTAGTAGATCAATGAAAAATGTTAACATAAACTATGCAGTCTAAATTCAGGACCTTAAATGAAAAATTCGAAGTTACAGATAAAATAGAACTTAAAATGCTAATCCTCTTTGAATAAACAAAGAAAAATTGGCAAAAATCTAATTGAACTGTCTTTGAAGTCAAATAAGGAGGGGGAAAAAAGGATAGATGATGTGGGAGAGACATACAAGCCAACAAAGACTTCAATTCTAATAATAAAAAAGAAACCCTCTATGCAAATTTAGTCCTTTTTTTATATGTGATTGACAAATCTACCATTTACAAATGAGCTGAATCAGTAGAGTTTTGAGCTTAATTCAACCTAGGCTCTGTTTAAAAAGATCTAATTAGGATTTTTGGTGTCACCTTAGACTAAAAATTTTCAAAAAATTATCAAAGTGCAAAATAATAACCCATTTGAATTTCATTACATTAAATTTCATTTCTCTCTCCTATTTTCAACCACGCAATCTTCCATTAAATAATATTACACGTAAATCGAAAACTTTTCCTTATTTTTCAATTACTCATTTTCAAAAAAAAAAAAAAACTATTTCACCCATTTTCATTTCCAAAAAATGCGGGCCAAGCAGGGGCTAAGCTCTTATAATTAACAAACAATCTTCAGAAATTATAACAGAATAATTTAAAGTGCACAAACAAAAGAAATGTCTATGAAGTAACATAAAGGAAACTATTATTTAGTTGGTAGTGCAATGCACTATTCCCAAAGTAGGTATATGAGAAATGCAATTTTTAATGTTTTCGTGGGCGAAAGTTCCAAAATGAGTCAATCAGAATTTTTATGTTTAGTCTCGAGCTGCCTCACAAAACTTAAGGTGTCTGCCTTGCAAAACTGAGGCGCAAACCTCCAAAAACTGCCTCACTATCAGCACCTTGAGACTTTTTTGCTCACCTAGCTCTGAAGCCATCTTCAATCGAGTTTCTTTAAATCATTCTAGGCTTGACCAAGTTAGTGCTTTATTAAGCCGGCTTAAACCTTGATGGGATCTCAATGCTTTAATTATATTGTATAAATATTTTTGGGTTAGTTCATAATTATAAAAATATGTCTGACAAATTCAACCAATTAAGTGTTCTAAAATTTTAGAAATTCCAAATTGAACAACCTGTTCAACTTTCACAATGAGTAGGAAGATATTTCAATGCTTGATTTCATATTGTTTTTTCACAAAATAAATATTTGCTATGAAAATTTCCATCAAATATTAGGCCCCCGTTTTGCCCCCATTCTCATTCTCATTCTCATCCTTTTTCTCTCTCTTATTTTCAACCACACAATCTTCTATAAAATAATATTACACACAAATAAAAAAAGTTTTCATTCTTTTTCAAACACACATTTTTCAAAATAACACTATTTCAACCATTAAAATTTGGCAAGAATGGAGGCTAGGTCTAGTCAAATCTGGATTGAACCAGCCCGATCCAACCTGGTATCCAGTCCAAGACTGCTTGAAGATTTCGTAAGCCATGGATAGACCTGCTAGATCCAGTGTGAACATTAAGCCTAACAAACATTGGATGACCAAAATAAGAATATTGGACCTGCGTGTCATTCTTGCGTTATCATTTATTATCATATCTTTTTTCGTTTGATTTTTAAAAATGAGAAGCAAAAGAAAGAGTAGGACATCAAAAGAAAAATCAAGAATTGGAAAAAAAAAAAACACAGAAAAGGAATGTTCCACAGATGTCAATCACTGTCACTGTTAGGTTTCTGCAAAGATCTTCGTTTATGATCTGGTAGCTTTTTTATGTCATTTAGTTACGTCCTAGGTGAATTGGAACGATGATGTTCTTTATTCAGATCCAAAATTTGCATAAGTTTTTTGACGGTTTTATTTAAAGAATGGTATTGCGAGGGTGAAGTGGCAGAAAAAAGAGGCAAAGCAGAGATGTCTTCACAACTCTTGATGCATGGATCCACCCTGCCTAGAAGCCCTGAAGATAGTACGCTCTACCTTAGTCGGCACCCTCTTAAACTTCAAACGAACACGTGCCTATTCTTGCAAACACTGTCATAAAAAAATCTTTCTAAACAAGAGGTTTGAGGCAAAGGGTAATAAATCTTACAACATACCTGCACCAAGATGCATTCAGACCTTCCAAGAAAGTTACTCTCTGGCTTAATTTCACCACAATACACATCTAGCCCTCTTTTAGAACTCTCAACTGCATTTTTTTTCCCTTTAAAGTCCCAATTCAAGATTTGAAGCATTAGACGAAGGGCTGCTGAACACACTTTAACTTCAGGAATGGCTGAGTCAGATCCAATTATTCTATTTGAGACATTTATAGCAGCATCTTGTGCCCAACGGTAAAATTCCTGTGAAGTATGAAAAGGGAAAGATTTTTGTCAAAGCTTCGAAAATGGCAGAGACAATTTGTATTGAGAAGGTCATACGCTGCATCAAATGCTAGAAAAAAAAGAGGACCGAGCATGTGAGGAAAACCTTTATATAGTCCAGCTCTAACGATGTTCGGCACTGCTCATGAAATTCTCTAGGAAGGCCCATAGCAGTTGATGTAGAGGGTGAAAATTCTGATACCTAATTGGAAAAGGATTATACATGTATTAAATATGAGAACAAACTTAAAGAAAGAAATGTTAAAAGCAAAAACAACTTGACTACAATCCTTTGAGGATATAAAGTGGTGAGAGAAGTACCAACGATTCCAAAAAACTGATTCCCATAAACTGTACATCAACAATCTGGCTGCCAGTAACAGCCTGTTTCACCTGCATATGAGAGAAATGGATTCATAAAAGTTAAAAAATTTAGCATGCTGGCAGCAGAGTTCTAGAATGAATATATGAATAATTTAATAGTATACCTTTGTAGCACATTTGACTTTACTTATTCACTAGTTTATTTTTTATATTTATTTCCTTACCTTGCACAATTAGGGTAGAATGTTTGTAGAATTTAGACACAAGAATATTGGTTTTTAATTTGATTCCTTTTTCAGGATATTCAGTAAATTCTTGTGTACAATATCTAAGCATGTATTTTTATTCTTTTAATATATATACATACATCTATATGTGTGTGTGAGTGTGTCGTATCAGATCCTTTAGGCACGGGAAAATTTTTCTATTGCAGCCTTCACTGCTACAATGCTACTGGTTCCTTTCTAGCAGCCTTCAATGCTGCTAGCCTGCTAGTTATGATGTTCGGACTCGGATACGGATCCGTATCTAAGTGTCAGATATTTTATTTTTTAAAATATAGGATATGGGGACATGGCTAAAATGTGTTCAAATTTCAGACATGAGTATGTGGGTACGTCTTTCAAGTTTTAATTTTTTTATTAACCCAAAATGTCATTTTCAATAGACCAAAAATAATTGTTCACAAAGAATGAGATGAGTATTGAATAAGGGGTTAAGATATATACAATAGAATTTTGAGGTTTAGTTTTCAATTATAGGAAGTTAATTACTAAATGTTATATAAAATAGAAAATTATGGATTTGATTGTAATTTAAACTTAGTGGAGCATTAAGAAGTACTATATGGAATCCATTTTCATTTTATACAAACAAAACCCTAAACCACCAATACAGAAAGGGGAAGAAAGGAAAACGCAAACAAGAAGAAAAGGAAAAGAGAAAAGAAAGGAGGGAAAACTTAGCGTCATCGCCCTTCTCTGTCCTCTCAAAGGCGACGTTAGATTTATAGAGAGCAAAAACAAGAAAAAAAAAGGAAAAGACTAAAAAAGAAAGAAGAAGCAAAAGCAGCGAAGTGTCCGGTTGAAACTTGAACGATCCGACACATATCTTATACCCATACTGATATCAAGTCGTGTTGGATTTTATGCGCAATATTAAAGAGATGAAAAACGGAAATCAACACAAGAATTTTACGTGGTTCGGCGATGTGCCTACGTCCACGAGAGCGAAGCGGAGATTTCTTTATTCAATTATAAAAAATAGGGTTACAACATTTTATTTATACTAACCCTAGCCTGGACCCATATAAAATTTTAAGGCCCGTACAGAAAATACCCCTATACCATACCGCAGGGGCGTTGCCCCCGCACCCCCAACCCATTCAGCGTCCCTAACAACCAGACAGTGAATTAAACCCGCGCAAGGCCGATGTCATCGCTCTGCTCCGGCATCGGCCCATTTGTTCCAGAGCCTATGTTCCACTCTATATGAGCCACATGCACAACAAGTCGTGTCCGACACGAGTATTCCAACTATTTCGAAGAGTTCGAGCATTAGAGACTGCTAGTATTTTTTCTAGCACTCATTGCCAATGCTTTTGTTTCTAACTCTCTTTAAACAGAGATTTCTATTTATTTCTTGAATGTATGAAATGACTGATAACTCCATGTAACAGCCACCAACAAACCTACAACCAACCCACTATTCCACATCCAAAATGACTACACAGAAATATATGAATTGACTGCAGCAGTCAGAAAATTTCGCTACTGAGTGAAGGACAATCAAATGCATCTGATGGTCTGCAAGCTACCTGCTGTGGAAGCTCCCAAGTGTGATATTTGTGAGGCTAAAACTCCACAATAATGTCCTCGTTGCTACATTCTATGCAGCCAGAGATTTGTAAAACTTACTTTCTTCTTTCAACAACAAAGAAATTTGGGAGGCACTCTCAAAACCTATTGTAAGGATGTTTGCATCTCAAATTTTCAAGAGGCAAGTCGTTACACCAAGCAAGGCTCCTTTAGTGTCACACATTATTACAACTCCCTTAAAGGTATATTTATAGAATTAGGTCTACATCAAGATTTGGAGATGGAGTCCCCGGCACTAAAAAGAAGTTCAAAGACATGTTGGCGAAGGATAGGGTATTTCAACTCCTAACAGGCTAATCCCGAGTACGATCGAGCTTGTGGATAAGTGGGAAGAGTTCCGTTCCTCAACCTAAATGATGACTTTGCACACATTCAAGGAGAGGAAAGCCTCAAAGAACTGATGGAGGCAAACCAGGGTCCTACAATGGAAGACACAGCACTAACCACATCTAAACTTAGTTCCAATCCAGGGACAAGAAAGCTATAGGTAAAGCCAAGCTTTGGTCTGATAACTATGAAAACCAAGGAAGACAAGGCTACGAGCTGGAAATTATATGGTAAGCAGCAAAACTAGAAGAATCCAATTAGTATTTAAGGCATCTTAGACTTCTAATACAGGCAGTTAATTAAATTCGGTGAGAAATGTCCTTTGCAATCTAAATTCTCTTTAGTACAAGGTAATCAAGAGTAAGTATGGATGATAGTCAAATGTGTAGGACCTGGGACGGGATCACTTATATGTCACTTATGCTAGTCCCGAGAAAAATATTACAAATATTTTCCTTCCATTTATTCGTCTAAAGGTAGGTAATGATCTATATCCATTTCTTGGAGGACTCTTCAAAAGGATAAAATCTTTTTTCAATCATATTTCCTCATTTGTACATCTCTCCTCACTTCATAATGTTACTATATTCAGCTTCCGTAACCTTTGATGAAGGTCCATCTCTTGGAAAAATCTCAATGATCAAGAATGCTTTCACTTGATTAATTTAATTGTTTTCTCTTCTCCTATTCCAGATGTAGGAGTTTGGACACTTGAAAATAGCAGGCTATACCAAAACAGCAGTAACGAATGACTACCTCAGGAAACAGTTATGCAGAGCAGATACCCAGTTCTAAAAGACATAACAAGTTTATAAGTACCAAAAGTTAAGAAGATAATCTAAGATATTTTTGACCATCAATACCTCAAGGAAAACTGCCTCCTTCTCAGCAGCTGTAAAATCTAGCCTGTACAAAGAAAAAAGAAATGAAACTAATCAGAAGATCCTTTTGAGCATGGCTAACAAGAAGATTAAATAGTCAATACACCATTAAAAAATCGGCCAATGCATATATCCCTAGAAAATTGATGCGATTGTAGAGAGAATCTCTGTCTCAAATTGGGAAGTTCTTTTAGTAATCTCTATTTTGTCGAAAAGCAACTCATGTCTAATGCATTACATTTGATGAGTCTCAACATCTGAGAGGAACCTATTAACTCAAATAATGTCTAAATGTACCATTGGTGGTTTCGATGCTCTTTTACACCAAAAGAAAACATGTTAAGTAATAGTAATTGCAAACTAAGCCTCTGTTTGAGCCAATTTTTTATTTTTTTTTGTGAAAAGAGATCTTTAGAGAATGTGTGGTTAAAAATCTTTTTTGGGGGATTGCTTCATTAAAACAGAATGGATCTCTCCTCCCTAACATCCAAACATCACACCCTTAGCCAGCCCCCGAACACCCCATCACCACCGACCGCTACAGTCGCCGGCGACATCACGTCGATAGGCCAACCATTCACCGGCCTTACGCCACTAAATAAGCCACATAATCAGGCGGCGGCCCTAGGTGGAAACCCTAGCACCGCCGCCCTAGCTGGAGACATAGATGCCAAGATCAGAGAAGAGGCCGGAAAACAGGGTTGTCCGTTCCAGATTCAGAAAAATTCGGCCACCTGCCTAGCAAACGCGCCTGACCGGCGTGATGCACAGGCGATTCCGGCCAGGGGGACGGAGTTGAGTGACCCACGCGCCGTCGGAACAGCGCGTGTCAGTCACGCGCGGCGGCGCGTCAGTCACGCGCCGGCGCCAGAAAACCAGGATGACGGGCAGAATGTCCCCAGTCCAGTAACGATGCCTGTTTTGCCGTCCAATATGCCGTTCTCACACAATCAGGGAAGGAAGTTAGTGGATGAATTCGATGTGGCCTTCAATCACCGTTTTCAAGTTGAGGCGAAGGAGTTTGCAATTTCTGTTACTAATCTTGGCGTTGTTAGAATGACCGAATGGGGCTCAAAGATATCGAATGCAATTAGCATGGGAAGGTTCGGTGCACGTTGGATGGTGAATATGGTGGACAAGTTGAGGGTGACTAGTAAGCATGAGGATTTCGTTTCTAGATTCAATGAGTCATCAAGAGCCTTCTTGGCACAGCGTTGTTCGAATCGCCGTGGTAGGTACTTGATGATAGCGCAGTTTGGGGATAGGCGTCGGAAGGGAGTTGTGATGGTGCCGGAAGGTGCGAATGGAGAAGGATGGGCATCAAACTAGCGGGTGTTTCAAACTGTTGTTGATTCTTTTGTTGCGAGGGATAAAGCCAAACATCGACCTGTGAATGAACATAATCGACAAGGATTGACTTATGCAGACATAACAGCAAACCTACATGCCTCGAAACATGTTAACCAGCGGAGGCAACAGCAAAAGGAGATGACTGTCAATGACAGTGTAAACGAAGGTCAGGATTGTTGTTTGAATAGGGCTGAAATTATGGCCCGTGTCCAGGAATTGAAAGGAGCGTTGGAGGAATTTATTAGGCTAGTGGGAAGTGGGTATGAAATGGGTCCCAAGAAGTTGTTATGTTGCCACATGTGTGGGGTGGGTATGGATGAGTATCGAGCAGTTGGAAAACAAGCATCGAGCTTGAATAAGAAGGAATCAGCACATAATCAAGTTAAGCAGGGAAGACTCGAAATCACTTGTAAGTCAAGTGATCGGATTGAAACGGATGAGGGACACTCTAAATATGACAAAGGTGATGTCTTAGAGGGGATGGCTATGGATGAGGTAGACACGGGGACCGATGTGGCCGAGAGGTGGTACCTTTGTCTAAAGAAGAGGACCCGAATATGGTGAACTTGGAGACAATAAAGATGGGTGCTACGGACACAGCCCCACACGATGATGGGCTTTTACTGGGTGACCAAGGGACGAGGCATGTACTGTCAAAGGATCTAGTTACCTCAAGGGTGATAGAGCATGATGTGACACCTTTGACAACAAGGGTTGCGAATACATATAATAGAAGGAACTCAAAGTCAATGAAAGTAAGTGACTTGGGGACGGAAAAAGCACTTGTGTTGTGGGTAGATGGAACCAAGAAGGGAGAAATAGAAAGTGATGTTATACAGGAGGAGGAAACAGGGGATTTGATTGGATTCGGACCTGGACACCCACCTTCGAACTGGGTTCTATAGAAAATTCAGGATTTCGGTAAGTTAATGGGCGTGTCTTGTGATGGTTATGAAAACAGATTATTACAATTATTTGAGGATTTAGAGGCCAATAGGGGACAGGAGATGAGTAAACAAGAAGGAAAACTAAGACAAAAGGGGCGATCATGAACTTAAGAGGCTCGAATGGTCAGTTAATTATGATGGCAAGGGTGGTGAGTCCAAGAATGGAGTATTGGGGAGGGATGCCGGACTGTTAAAATGATACCACGAATCATTAGCTGGAATGTAAGGGGACTTAATGAAGTTGGGAAAAGGATGGGTGTTCGACATCTGCTAAGGGGCTGGGGAGCGGATCTTGTATGCTTAAAAGAAACCAAGATGGAGTTCGTCTCGAGGCCAGTGGTCAGTAACTTATGGAGGGGACAGCATGTAGGGTATCAGTTTATGGGATCATCAGGGGTTTCTGGAGACATATTAGTCATCTGGGACACCAGAGTGCTTGAGATGGAGGAGGTGAGTGTAGGATTGTTCTCAATATCGATGTCGTTTAGAAACATTGGGGATGGATTTCAGTGGATGTTCACAGGTGTTTATGGGCCTAATACTGATGACAGTAGACGGGGCTTGTGGGATGAACTGGCTGGAATAATGGCTTGGTGGAATCTACCAACGTGTATAGGAGGTGACTTTAATGTGGTTCGATTTCCTATTGAGAGGTCGAGCAGTGGGAGACTCACGGGGGCTATGGAGGAGTTTTCAGACTTTATAAGGGAGAATATGTTAGTGGATTTGCCTATGATTGGGAGAGATTTTACCTGATCTTCTAATCGGGACCAACCGGATCTTTCTCGTATAGACAGGTTCTTGATATGCGGAGAGTGGGAGGCTAAGTATTCAGATGTCATTCAGTGAAGATTGGGGAGGGTGTACTCTGATCATTTCCCCATTATGTTAACTGGGAACAGGACAGGTGGAGGACGAAGGCCTTTTAAGTTCGAGAAAATGTGGTTGAAAGTCGAAGGTTTTAGGGAGCAAGTACAGACTTGGTGGACATCTTACGATGTAAGAGGGTCTCCTAGTTTTGTGTTGGATCGGAAGTTGAAGTCTTTGAAAAGGGATTTAAAGAAATGGAATGAGGAGGTTGTGGACAATGTGAACTGTCGTAAAATTCAGTACCTTTCGGAGATAGATGAGTTGGATAGGTAGGAGGAGAGTCGAAGGTTAGCCAGGGAGGAGAAGGATAAACATAGAGCATTAAGGGAAGAACTGGAGAGGTTGGTGGAGATGGAGAAGATTGCTTGGCGACAAAAATCTAGGGTCAATTGGTTGAAAGAAGGAGATAAATGTACTAAATTTTTTCACAGGATCGCAAATTCTAATAGGCGTAAAAATTCTATCACAGTGTTGGAAGTGGATGGGATAACTTATGAAGAACCACTCGAAATTGGAAGTCAACTGATGAATTTCTATCAGAATCTATATCGGGAGCAGTTTGAGTGGAGGCCAAAGTTGGAAGGATTGGATTTTTCTACTATCACGGAGGATGGTGCCGATTGGTTAGAGCGACCTTTTGAGGAGGATGAAATCAAGGAGGTAGTGTTTAGCATGAACGAGGATAAGGCCCCTGGATCGGATGGTTTCTCGTTCTCATTTTACAAGGCTTGTTGGGAGGTGGTGCGATCAAAAATCTTGGATGTGTTTACATATTTTTTTTTAAATGTGGCAGGTTCCAAAAAAGTTCTAATGCTACATTTGTTGTGCTGATCCCTAAGAAATCGGGAGCGACCGACATTAAGGACTTTCGCCCTATTAGCCTAGTTTGTGGGATGTATAAGATTATTGCGAAAGTTCTGGCGAATAGATTAAAGGAGGTGCTCGAAAAAGTAGTATCCAAGTTTCAAAATTCTTTCGTAAAAGGTCGCCAGATTTTGGAATCTGTGCTTATAGCGAATGAATGCATTGATTCAAGATTGCGTTTGGAAATTCCCGGGATGCTATGTAAGCTTGATATTCAGAAGGCATATGATCATATGAACTGGGGGTTCCTTTTGTATATGCTTAGGAGGTGCAGCTTTGGGGATAAGTGGTGTAAATGGATTTAGTTCTGTATTTCTACTGTTTCGTTCTCAGTTATGGTCAACGGATCGCCGGAGGGTTATTTTCAGAGTAGTAGAGGTTTGCGGCAAGGAGATCCACTATCCCCATTGCTATTTGTTATTGTGATGGAGACTTTCAGTAGGATGTTTGAAAGAGCTGTGGGAGAGGGTTTGGTAAGGGGCTTTATGGTTGGCCAATTGCAGGTGTCTCATTTGCTATTTGCAGATGACACGTTGATCTTATGCGATGCGGATGATGAACAATTCAGGAACCTACGTCGTTTGCTCCTATGTTTTGAAGCGGTGTCTGGATTAAAAATCAATTTAGGGAAATCTGAGGTTATTCTAGTAGGGGAGGTCACTAACGTGGAGGAGTTGGCTGGCATATTGGGATGTAGGGTAGCACAATTGCCCATGTCATATTTAGGGCTCCCGCTAGGGGCGCGGTTTAAAAGTACACATATTTGGAATGGGATTATGGAAAGAATGGAGAGGAGGTTAGCAGGGTGGAAGCGTATGTATCTTTCTAAGGGAGGCCGACTTACTCTTATTAAATCCACTCTCTCAAATCTCCCCACTTACTTTTTGTCATTGTTTCCTATTCCGGTCGCAGTGGCAAATAGATTAGAGAGACTTCAAAGAAAATTCTTGTGGGCAGGGCTAGGGGAGGAGAGGAAAATGCATTTGGTTAATTGGGATACTGTCTGTTTGCCTATGAGGATGGGGGGCTTGGAATGAGGAGCCTTGTTTTGTTTAATAAGGCTTTATTGGGCAAGTGGTTGTGGCGATTTGGAGTGGA